TTCCAGCCCCCAGTGAGGATGCCAAAGAACATCCCATGAGATAGAAAAAGAAAGGCCTTACCATCCTTGAGTTAGATAAATAAAACTTTCTCCTCCAAAATTTTTAATTCTCTTAGATAGACTTTTAGCGGTGGAATTCTTAGGCCAAATAAAGCGAATATTTTGAGGCGTTTGACTGCCATATTGGTTCCAAAGTATTGTGTCAGTTTAGGAGTTTATTTCTAGTTGTATTTCCTTATTTGAGAATTGTCTTTTAGGTACTTTACCCATTTACTTTCATCGGTTTTAGTTTTTTTCTCATCTATTTGTGTGAACTCTTTACATACTAAATACTTATACTTTGCATACTAAATATCTCTACAACACTTGCTGCAGATATTTTCCTAAGGCTACTGGGAATCTTCTTGGTGTGCAGAAATTTTCACTTTTATGAAATCAAATCTGTCCTTTCTTTAGCGACTTCCTTGGTCATTTTATTCCAATAAAGATTTATTAAGTATGTAAGATGTGCCAGGCATTGTGGTGGGTTTAAACGTAAATAACACACTATCCCTGGCCTCCAGGAGCTTGCAATCTTTTGAGGATATGACAGCAAAGAAAACTTCAACACAGTGGATCAAGAGGACTTCCACTTCTAGAATTATGGCCGACTAGGTACTTTGGGTCAAAGGAGCCCAATGACTGCAGTGCAAGGGTTCTAGAATTAAACCCCGGAAAGGACACACTCTTAGAGATATTGCTAGTTTTACAAGAGGTAGAGGAGGTCTCTTAAGATCCTTGTCTTTCTAGTAAACATGGCAGCAAAAATGTGGGTTTGGGTTGAATAAAGCCAGAGTGGCTAGCAGCAAGGAGGAGGGTGGTTACAGGACAGCAACTCTGCCTGTTATAAGTGGTTATCTAGCCTTGGGCCAGCAGGGATGGGAAAGCTGAGCTGGCACCACCCTTAGACTGGGGCAAGAGGGACCCTGCCTTGGGTCCATGCTTTAGAGAAAGCTCTCAGATCATACACACGCACACACACACACACGCAATACACATACACACATAGATTAAAGACATGCACTCAGCACAAGCAGAGCATGACCATACTCTACACAACCACTCTCATGATTAACTCCATTCAGGCCCTGGGGAAACACTTGTGCCAAATAGCATCCGAAGAAAGGGTGCTGAAGTAGATATGGTGAGGTTTGGGTTGTTGGAGATGGATAGCGCTTTAGAAGGGAGGGAGGATTTGAGGAGTGGAAACCTTTAGATAAAAGAAAAGATAAATTAATCAACTTGTTAAATCCTTTTCTTCAGAGTGAATGCAACAGGTTGTCACACAATAAAGTATTGCTCAGTAGTCTCAAGTGTCCATTTTTTTTGCTTCTGTTCGTGTCCAATTTGTGGTTCTGGAGGGACTCACAAATTAGCACAGTATTTGCAACAGATGCATATGGCTGCAGAGGAAATTTTCCACTATTAAACAATTCATATTGTGTTACATTCACAGATCTGCAGGTTTAATACACTGTATGTGAAGTGTGATATCTACTGGTTCTTTACATTAGGAACTCGAGACACATTGAGCACTAGAATTACAAATAATTTGATATTATACAAACATATGATAATCAAAAAATTTAAAATTACTTTAGGAAGTTTCAGTTTCTTGAAAATAGTAATAGAAAACATTAATATTAATAGAAAAAAATTATGTGAACATCTTGCTGATACCATAAGTGATTTTTCTAAAATGAAGGCAAGAAAAATAAATTTTATGAAATAACTGTATCATAATTAATGAATCACGTAAGTATTTATTTTATTTCTCAGCCAAACCTCACTAACCTATCAAAAGAATATTCAGACACATGCAATAACAATTAACATTTCAGTTGTTTTTACTATTCTGTCAACTTTCCGTTATATAAAAACCATAGTTTTACACACAATTCTCTACTTTGTTGTATGAAGGTATATTTTTCAAAGTAGGGGGATGGAACATATTTTATGTACCAATTTGAGGGCTTGATTTGCAGTTTGTTTTTTTTTCTTGAGGAAGATTAGCCCTGAGCTAACATCTGCCACCAATTCTCCTCTTTTTGCTGAGGAAGACTGGCCCTGAGCTAACATCCGTGCCCATCTACCTCTATTTAATGTGGGACGCCTACCACAGCATGGCTGGGCAAGTGGTGCCATGTCCGCACCCAGGATTCAAACCTACGAACCCCAGGCCACCGAAGTGGAATGTGCGCACTTAACTGCTGTGCCACCAGGCTGGCCCCTTGATTTGTAGTTTTTAAGCATTTAGACATGGATATGTATTGATCCCATTTTTACTCTTGCCCTGGCCACCACACATGTGAGGGGCAGACTTGCCCAAATTCCAAGGGGGCTAAAGTAGCCAGGTTGGTGGTATCTCCTGGGGCAAAGATGAAATTATATTAGATGTTTGAAAAAAATGTCTAATACTTGAATTGTGAAAATTATACATGTCAAAACTTTCATCAGGATGCAATAAAAGTGGGGTTTTATACATTCAAATGCTTACATTAGAAAAGGATAAAAGATGAAAATGAATGAATGGTGCTCAATTAAAAAGTTTTAAAAGGGGGGCCAGCCCAGTGGCCAAATGGTTAAGTTTGCGCACTCCACTTTGGTGGCCCAGGGTTTCACCGGTTCGAATCCTGGACGCTGACATGGCACTGCTCATCAGGCCATGCTGAGGCGGTATCCCACATGCCACAACTAAAAAGACCCACAACTGAAAATATACAACTATGTTCTGGGGGGCTTTGGGGAGAAAAAGGAAAGATAAAATCTTTGAAAAAAAGTCTTAAAAGGTAAACTCAAAAATGTAGAGAGACAAAACAGTAATCAGTGAAAAAGAAGACATACGAAAGATAAAATAAAAGAGCCAAAAGTTGTTTCTTTTAAGACTAATCAAATAGAGAAATTTTGGTAACATTAAGAAAAGAAAATAGAAATGATCAATATAAAGAAAAGGGAAATATTCCTATACATTAGCTGAAATTTAAAAATATTATTAAAGAATACTATGAACAATTTTATGCAAATTGATTTAAACAATTAGATGTAATGGGCAAATTCCTGGAAAAATATAGCTTAGCAAAACTGACTCAATAAGAAATAGAAAGCTTGTATTGTTCCTTAATTATAAAAGAAATCAGAACGTTAGTTAAAAATCTTTCCATAAAGAAAACAACGATTGAGTTCTAACAGACCAAGCCAATATTAAACAAACTTCTCTAGAAAACACAGAAAGAGGAACACTTCCCAACTAATTTTAGAAGGCTTATATCACTTTATACCAAAAACCTGGCAAGGACAGATTGAGAATGGAAGATTATAGGACTTTTACGGAATTTCAAGTCCAGACATTTTCTTTCCTTTCAAAAGATTTGATGTATATTCAATTAAATATTTTTAAAATTCTGTTTGATTAAAAAATTTTAGATTGAATCCATCCAGAATTTATTTAGATATGTAATGTTAGATGAACACACACACATTTCTGAAATAGCTCACCTGTAGTTCTCTCACTATATAGTAAATAATCTTTTCCATTTAGTAAAAGTGAAGATTTTATTACCAGGAATTTTTATTACTAGGAATTTTTTATTAACACATGCAGACTCAGTTACTTTGGGTTTATCCCTGGTAAACGCTGATAAAAATAGATTTTGATGCTACCACTGAAAAAAAAAACAAAGAGCCAGAGAGAAGCAGACAATGATTCAATTTAAGTTAAATTTAGTTTTAAAATTAGCCCACTTTATTTGAAGAACTTGTGTCAATAACTTACTACCCACCTATCTTTTTAATTACCACAGTGACAGTTTAATTACCATGGACAATTAAAACAGTTAGTATTATTTTGAGTTTTTTATGTTACAGTAGATTATTTCACATTAAATGTTAAATACCTATCAGTTTTCATTTCCTGTTAATAAATTTCCACATTCATCAATCTCAAATGTTATAACATTTTCTAACACACACACACCACACACACACACACATAGAGGGAGAGAGACAGAGAGGGAGATTGAGGAAGAGAGACACACAGGGAGAGAGGGAGAGAGAGATAGGGAGAGAGAGATAGGGAGAGAGAGAGAAGGAGAGAGAGAGAGAAGGGAGGGAGGGAGGCAGCCCAAGCAAACTGTTTTAGGCTTTTGCAGGGAGATTATTCAGGCAGCTGGTGTCTTACTGGCTTGGGATTCTGATTGATGACAGACAACATAATACATAATCTATTTACTAACTCCTAACAGCTAAATAATGCCCTTATTTTTCACTATAACTGAATTGCCAATACCATATTGACAAAATGTCATAGGGCTGGAGCTAAGCTGACCTCATGTCACCATTTTTCTTTCTATAGCATCAACGAAGACCCCAGAAAAGACCCCTTATCACTCTGATTAATGGAAGGCACTAAAGGTTACCAGTGAACTTGGTTGTATTTATTTATTTACACTTAATTCACTGGTAAAGGGTGGAGGGATAGAACTCACCCGGTAATGGAAAACAGTAATTTTTTTCCTCTCTCCCACACTGTCTACATCAATGACTGCTTTGCATATTTCAGGGTGCTTGCTGGTGCGGGCAGCCTCTGGGCCCCATTCCGAATGGCTGGAGTCGAGTGTGTGCAGCACAGAAATGGCATTTTCCTAGGGCTGAGCACAGAGTCTGTCTCCATAAATATTTGTTAATTTGGCTTAGAGACCACAGACCCCACAAAGTAGATGGTGGCAGGGGGTAACCTTCTATAATTCTCAAGAAAGCAACTGCTTATAACCTCTCTTTGGCTATGCCTTCCAAGAACAATTGTTCAGAACCAGTACAAAAAAAATTCTTTAGTTTATGTTTATGCAACAGCAAGATGATCTCCTAATCTTCATCTCCACCAAAACTCCTTTAGTTCACGTCCTATATGTGTGATGCCTCTGAAGTCATCTGTCTCTGATGTGATCCTCCTCTGGTTCCCACAGGCAGAGGGACTCTCCCAAACCCAGCTCTGACCACGGCCATCTCTTAGTTCAAGACCCCAATAATTTACAGGTAAAGTCTAAACTTTTTGGCATTTTAAAACTTTTTCTGCCTTTAACTTGTGTACTCTCTCCTTCTTTTTCCTCTTGACAAACTCTTTGTCTTTTAAAACTCATCTGAGACATCGTATTCCCCGTGAAGCTGCGCCGGTCTCCCCAGAGTGAGTTAGACCTTGCTTGCTTTGTGCCCCCACCCCTGAGTACCTAAGACTACTGAAGCTCTCATCACACCACGTGGCAACCACTCATATGTCCGCTTCCTCCAGTCCCCACCCCCACCTCCTCCTTGAAACCCAAGAACTCACAGTGCTCTGCTCCAGAGCCCCATCTACTTTAATACCCAATTCAGTTCTGTCTTATTTCTCTGGTTGGTTTATATCTTCAAAGTTTTGTTTCCCAGTTAGACCGTAAATTCCTTTGGTATGAGTTTCCATCGTATTTTTAACCTAGCAAATGCTTGAGCTCAGCACAGTCATTTATTATGAGTCTGAAATGGAGTAAACCTTGAAGGTGAGTAGAAATCTAACTTTAAAATGTGTGTATGTGTGTGTGTGCGCGTGTGTATATATAAGAGAGTGAGAGAGAGGTTCTTATTTGTTTAGCAATGTGTGTGCCCTCGAAATATACATCTTTTTGCAGATTGCACTGCAGCACAAAAAAAATTCCTAAGAATGACAAGCTCTTTGAAGCACAATGGGAATAATCGCTTATCAAACTAGCTCAATTACATTTCTTACTACTGATTAAGATATATCTGGACCTTCATATGAACAAAAATTTGGTTGCTGGGGTGGGATTTTATAGCTGTATCACTGTAAATTTATACCCACCATATAAAAATTGTCAATGGATATAATTAACTACCAAAATATTCCCTAGGGTTAACTGTCAACTGAATTAACTAAGCAATACAGTTAGGTTTTAATTAGCCATTTTAAGGCCTGTAGAATTAGGTGCAGAAAGCAGGGTGATAATTTCATATAAAAAACCTCTTCTCAACTTTTAGTTTCACATGAGATTCTAAATACATAAATATATACTCCCCAATGAAATCTTCCTCCCTCCTTCTCTCCCTCCCTTCCTTTTTTCCTTCCTTTCTTCTTGTAGTTTTGTGACTTATCTTTTAATAGGAAAAAGTGAACACTTCTAGACAAGAATATTTGTCAAGGAGACATTGCCAGCTATTCCAAAGCCTCGATTTTATTTAGGAAATAACTCTTTCCAAATTTTCAATATTATTTCAAAAGTGTTTACTGGAAAAATCCCTCAGATATCTGTGATTTGAGTTCTTTTAATTATATTAAAAACAATCTTCTTCAATAGTTGTGAGTTCATAAATTGGTGAAAGCAATTGATTGTGGTTGTTAAATAATGCCTAACTCAACATGTTGCTATACATCTTTTGAAATCTTCGAGTGTGGCTAATCTATTCACAATTGTCTTGTACCTTCCCTAACACAGACATGCGCACACACACACCACACACATACACACGTATTCTGACTGTAGTAATAAATCAATAAAATACCACACTCTTGGCTGTGCCTACACTGCATTTAGAAGTGATAGAAGTTTCAATTATTTGATTGCATAGCATCTGGCCGTGAAGAATCAGAATAAATTATGGAAGAGGCAGTTTATTTAAAAAGAATGAAGCTATTCTGACATTTTAACTGATGGTTATTTGATGTACTCTGAAATAGTAATTGACTTGATACCAAGTTACCTGTCAACTGAACACTGAATAAGTTACAAATAAAATGTGTAAGATCACAAAGAGTATTAGATTGTTTTCCAGCTCTCATTCTGAAATCCTTTTTGGCTTCAGTTACCTGCCTTGAATACATACACTGATCAAATAAACTGAAGAATGAATATATCTCCTTTTCTTTTTGTGCTAGAGAACGAATCTAAGAGACTTTGAAAAGATTACCTCAAGTATTTGAAGAAACTGATATCTCTCTCCATTTTCATCTCATTAAAAAAAAGAATTCAGGATTAATGTGTTTTGAATAGGAAAGATCTGTGACTTAGCAGCTTCTTAAACCATAGGACTCAATTTTGTATAGGTCCATATCCCACCAAGGGACATTATTACTCCCTAAATCCCAGGTGGTAGTTGAGAGCTCTAGTGACCAGGAGTTGACATTCAGCTGTGTGGCCTTAAATAAGTCATTTAACCTCTGAGGGCTTTATTTTTTATACTTGTAAAAAGGAACTAATAATATCCCCTTCAATGGGTTATTTGGAGGATTAAGTGAAATAGTGTATGCGAAAGTGCTTTGTAAAATATTATACTATCAAATTGCAAAACTTTCAAAAGTATGGTGTTATTATTATTACATTTCTATTAGATATTATTCCTCAAACCATTTTTTCCTCAATGAATACTGCTAACATAGTGTGTGATATCTATTTAGGCTCAGGAGAAGAGGATATTACTTCTCTCTGGACCTATAATAGCCTTAGGTCTCTACCTTTATAAAAGCATTTAATAAACATGATTTTCTTGACTTCAGTATTATCTAAGCTTTTTTGATCAGTTATCTCATAAATAAAATTTGTAGGGATCATGCAACCTAACATATTTATATATAATAAGTTTATATATAAATATGCAATATATCATATATTAAAATATGCAATTATATATAAATATGCAAATATATATTTTATATAAATTTTATATGTTTTGATATATTGTGAGATTCCAAAACATATTCAAATAATAGTAATTTTAAAGTGATGAAAGAGACTTTGAGTTTGCATATGGTGACGTAAAGCCAGCAATTCTTCCTTCTCTTCTTGGAAACTATTCAACAGCAACAGGGAAAATTACAAAGAAAAAGACAAATTCCATTTCTGACAAAAACAAAAAATAGCTAGAATCCCAAACTATAAAGTAAGTGAAAGGGTTGCCAAAAGTCATGGAGACTATTCCAGAATGCATAAAGAAAGAAGACACTGCAGCACAGATCTTGGAAAAAGACAAAACACACTTTCCAAAGTGTGAAGATTTTTCAGAGGTGAAGGTTTACCCTGAGGTGCAAAACCTAATACCTTGTATGCACAACAGAAGCAGGGTACATTGACTGGCAGTAGGAGCACCTTGTACCTGGTTTTATCCCAAGAAGAAGAAAAAGTGAGGCTAAAAGAGAAATCATAGAGACAAGCCATAAGTGTAGGAAGCAGTCTATGTCTGCCAGATGGGGAGAAAAGTAACTTTGCTTTGGAAAACCCTTATAGCTGCTAAACCCCATGGACTCAAGGGAAACAAACTTATACACAAAACTCTGTAACATAAGAAAAGTCCCAGTTGGCCTTTGCTCTTCCTCAAAGCAAACTTTTGGAAATATCTGGTTGGAGGAAAAGCTCATATTGCAAAGATGAAAAATCAAAAAGAAGCAATCATAGGATCAATAGAAACACAGGAAAAGAATAAAATAAATGGCAGACAAGCAGGAAAAAATATTGCCACAGGTTAGATGAAAGTTATAACCAAACTTTTTGCCAAAAATTTAAAAAGCTTGGTGAAGCAATTGATTGTATGAAGGAAGAATGCAAATCAGAGATGCAAGAGCTCCAGGAAGAGATCCTGAAGCAACAGAGGGGGAAGTGATATGTGATCTGGCAGAGCTTAGGAAAAACATTGAAGGAAAAGATAAAACCATCACAGAAATTAAAATGAGATTGGAAGAAGCACCAAGGAGACCAGATGCTGCTAAAAACACAGTGGGGAACAGAGGATAGAAATGGCAGATGGGGATGGAGGAAGGAAGAAGGGAAGATGAATGAAGTGAAAATGAAGAAAGAGTCAAAAGGAACAAGATGTAAAGGATAGGCAAAGGAGATTCAACATATGTATACTTGGAGGTGCTGAAGAAGAAAATATTGCATCATAACAGAATACTTACAATACAGTTCAAGAAAACTTACCTGAAATAAAGGAAATTTGTATCTGCCTAAGAAAGGATACACCATATTCCAGGGAACACTGACTCAGAACAGCCAATGCTGAGATATGTCCTAGTAAAGTTATTGGACTTCCAGACAGCAACACGACAACAACAACATTCTTTGGGCAGCTAGACAGAGTCACTTCTAAAAGAAAAAAGGGTGTGCTGGCCTCAGACTTCTCCTCCGCAGTAATCAATGCTAGACTGACTCCCAAGTCAGAGGAGTAACACCTACGATATCCTCAAAAAAAGACTATGTAACCTGAAGATGTTATTTGGGTATAAGGACAATAGGAAAATACTCTTGAAGCTGCAAGAATTCGAGAATATTGTTCCCATAAGTCCTTCTTGAAGAATAGCCTACAGGACAAACTTTAGCCAATCAAGATAGGAGAGAAAAAGAGACAAACATGAGCACTGAATGTATCAGCACTAAGATGAAAATAAATGTGGTTTGGATTATAGAACAGAAAGTAAATATTCTGTGCCCTTAAAATGCAGACACGATGTAAATAATGTAAGTTGGGAGGGTAAGGACAAAAGAAGCTGAAAAGTAAAGACTAAGCAAATTCACACACAAAAAGTCATGATGTGGTTTCCTCATCTCTAATAGTTGTTGGTTAGGGATGTCATTTTAATATTGACAAATTAATTAATATAGGCAAGAGTCTATCTAATAGTACAAAAAAGAATCACACTAAGAAAGAGGAAATAATTCACAAAAATTGGATGGTGGAAAAGATAATGGGGAGAAAAATGACATACATACAATTCTTTATGATCTAAGCAAGTAATGTACATTACCTAAAGAAACTGAGGATTCATTATCATCTAAAATTAAAATTTAAGGGTAACCACATATAAAAAATATAAAACTTTCTATTTATCATGAAAAAATGCACAAATAGGTAAAGAAATAGGACATATGTTGAAAATTTTTCACAAAACTATAAAATAGAAAACACAATATAAAACAATATGACAGAAGTAAGACAAAACTTATCTGTCATACTAATAAATATAAATGGACTTGCCTCGCCAAGTAAAAGAAAATAACTTTCAGAAGCTATTTTAGGAAATAACTTTGGAAGCAAATCTAAACTTTATGTCATACATAAGAGACACCCCCAAAGCAAAGTGATTCAGAAAGTCTGAAAACGAAGGATGAGTAAAATACACCAGGCAAATGCAAACAAAAAGAAAACAAGTTAGTCTTCTTAGTGTTAGAGAAAGTTGAGTCCCAGACAAAGAGCATTAAATGAGTCAAAAATGGGTTTCTTATTGTGTTGAAAAGTGCAATTAACAGTAG